ATTAACAGCATGAACAGCACAGCTGCTAGGGTGGTGAGTGAAGCAAAGAGTAATATAAATAGTATTGTTATTTATTTTTATTTTTATTTATTTAATTAATATGTTTATTTAATATATTTTATTATTTAAAATAAATATAAATGCTGCAGCAACCTCTGCTTCAAATTCAGGTGTCTGGTGAGTGCAGCGGGTAGACGGAGGAAACTGACTAAAATTAAAAATATAAAATATAAAGTAAATAATAAATAATTATTTAAACTAATTTAAACAAATAAATAAATAAAAATTTGTTTTATTTTGCTTTATTTTATTTTTCTCGCTTTCTATCAGCTGTTCTATCAATAGGCCAGACCGCACCTCCTGGGGTGTATATATTTTTGTGTATTTGTTTGTTTATTTGAATTTATTTTTACTCCTTTTATTCCTTTTTATTTATTTAATGTACTCTGAGTTTATTTTTAACTCTCTTATGAATATTTTTATTCCTTTATGCCTCTAAGACGCTGCAGCAGCTAACAGGTGGGTGACGAGACAGCAGAGAGAGAGAGAAGGACGAAGAAGCAATGAATAATTAAAATAAAATAAATAATAAATAAATAAATAAAAATATATTTTAAAACAAATCTGCAGATATTTAAAACAAATAAAATTAAAAAGAAGTATAAAGCAGGACATCTTCATCAACTAATGCGAACAAAACAACTCAACACGATAAATGAATATATAAAAGAATAAATATGCTGCTGCTGCTGCTGTTGCTGTTGCTGCTATTGCTGCTGCTGCTACTGCCTCTCCCGCTCCTGCTGCTGCTACCTCCGCCTTTGCTGCTACTGCGGCTGTTGCCGCTATTGCTGCAGCTGCTACTACTACTGTTGTTGTTGTTACTGCTGCTGCTGCAGGAGTAGAACTGAGTAGTGCAGATGGCGTCAGCAGCAGCAGCAGCTGCTGCTGCTTCTGCTGCTGCAGGTTTGCTGTGGAGCAGCAGCAGCGGCAATGCAGCAGCAGAAGCAATATCACAGCTGCGTCGTTTTGAATTAAAAGAGATAGGCAGCGAGGAGTAAGATAAAAAGTAATGTACATACACCAGACTGCAAGTGCAGCAAATAAACTCGCGGTGTATATACACCCCACATCATATCAAGATACTGCATGCAAAGCCACAAACAGCAGCAGCAGTAGCAGCTTCTGCTGCTGCTGCTGTTTCAGCAGAAATAGCAGCATTCGCACTACCACCTGCAGCAGCAGTAGCAGAAGCAGCATCAGTAGCAGCAACAGCAGCAGCAGCACCACCACCACCAGTAGCCGCAGCAGCAGCAGCATCCACAGCA